GGACATTTACTAATTTCTCTTTTAAACAATGTAATTAATGGCTTATGGTCTGTTTCCACAGTAACTTTCGACATAAACAAATAGTCATGAAACTTAGCACATACAACCAAATAAAAACAAGAGCATTCTTTTTCAATTTGTCCTGCTTTACTTTGAGCTTGTATTAATGTTGAAGATGCATGTGCGATTGGAATGTTATTTTGCATCATTACTGCCCCTACAGCGTCTTTTGAGGCATCAACATTGTGCGTTATAGGTAAATACATCGTAGTACGCTAGCACCGGAGCTTTAGTTATTAAATCTTTAACTTTATCAAATTCTTCCTGATGTATTTTTTCCCACTTAAAATGAATTGTTGTCTTGAGTAAATTACTTAAATTTGGGATTTCTAATTGAAGATTTTTAACAAAACTGCCAACATAATTTATCATCCCTAAAAACCGTTGTAGCTGTTTTAGTGTTCTTGGAGGTTTTATTTTTGGATTGCTTCAATTCTTTTGGGATCGAATTTGACGCCATCTTTTGACCAAACATGACCTAAAAAATCTAAACTGGGTTTTGCAAATTTACATTTTTTCAAATAAAATTTTAGACCTAGCTACTCTGCTCTCTTGAGTACTTTTTTGAGGATATCATCGAGTGTCTTTTTATCTCCATAAATCAAAAAATCGTCAATATAAATTATCAGATTAGGAATGTCTCCAAATAACTCATACATTTTGCTTTGGAACATTTTACTTGCACAAGTAAGACCAAAGGCAAGTCTAAAAAATCTGAATCTCCCAAATGGAGTGGCAAAGGTTGTTAGTTTAGAACTTTCTTCGTCTAATTCTAGGACCCAAAAGGCTGATTTGGCATCCAATGTTGTAAATACAGTGGAATTTTTTAATTTTGGTTTAACATTATCTAATGTTGGAATGTTATGTTTTGGCGTTATAATTTCTTTATTTAAGGTATGAGGACCTAAGCAGATTCTTACTTCTCCATTCGGTTTTGACACCGTTACATTTGGATTGACCCACTCAGTAGGTTCCGTTACTCTTTCAATTACTCCTAATTGCATCATCCTTTGCAGTTCTTTCCAAACTATCTCCTACGCAATTTATATGGAATTTGTCTCGGAGGCTCAGCTGTCGGTTTTGCATTATCATTTATTTTTATCTTACACTTGCAATTTTTTATGCGATCTATTCCTTTAAACATTTCAAATTAATGAACTATTGATTTATATTCATCCACAATTACATTAATTTGTTGCAGTACACCTTATTGCTTACACGTTTTATAACCTAATATTGGGGGTGTATTAATTTCTGCCACAATAAATCTAATTACATGGGCTTTGCCCGCTTGCTCATTAACACATTTGAGATTGCACTCACTGACGACTTGCATTTTTCTCCAGTAACTGATGTTAATTTGACATTAGTTTTTAGGATGGGTTTTTTGCCTATTGTTCTTTTACTTAAATTAGCAGGGATTACATTTGCTTGGGCACCTGTATCAACTAAGAAATTTGCGAAGTAGTCATTGACATTCAAAGCATTCAGAGTTACATACCTCTGATCATCCTCCTGCTTGGATTTGATCGCATCAATGAATAACTCAGGACCATCTCCATCTATCTTCCGAATAGTAATCATCGCTACCACCCACATAGCACAGAATATTGATATAATATTACAATAGTACTGACACGTCAGTAGTGTCAGTATTTATATAATGCTGATGTATCCTGATTTAATATTATATCAAGACTATGCCAGTATTTATTAGTTACTGATTTGGAGCTGTCAAAATATTGTCACAGTATTGGCCGAAAAGGTTGATTTCATATGGAAATCAGGGTTATGACAAGGTCATCAGAACACTGCAGGACACCGACAACATGTATGCATTACTACCTTGACACTGAAACGTCTGTACACTCAGCGCCCACTGTCAAGTAGATATGAAAGTTCAGACGATGACCGTCATTTCCATAGTACTGCACATGTATTACATTTGAAACATGAATTACACAAGTATACAAGTATTGAATATTATAAACCACTTACTTGATGTCCTGCGACGTTTAGTAGCGTAAAATACCCGGACGCCCTCGGGTGGATTTGAACCCGAACCGCGGAATTCCTAGCCCAGTACTCTACCATTGAGCCACAGGGAGTTGATGGTGTTTCGGGTTAAAATCACGCCTGTTAATAAGGCTGTTATAGCATGCATAGTATCAGTGCGCGGCTCGACTTTCATCATAACTTTGATTAACACCGTGTTTTCTTAGGCTTCTTTTTCTTCCTATATTTTTTTTTTTTTTACCTCGTCAGCATTGACTCAATACTGTTGTTTGATATATTGAAGGTATCAGTGTTATATTCATGCTGACGCGGTATACCTTTTAACCGACAATCTTAACATCATACTCGTTAGTGTTGGTGATATCATGTCAACATCCAACAATATGTATCAGTATTGACATAAGATTCTGTGCTAAGTGGGCAGTCGAATCCTCATCACCAGTCTTTTTTTTCTCAGCATACTTGCAAACTCTTGAGAAGTGATTCGACCCATTGCAATTGTTACATTTTCTCCCAATGGCAGGGCACCTTCCAGAATAATGTTTGGTATTTCCACAGTTTTTGCACTTGCTGTAGTTTCCCGTCCTTCTCGAGTCATCATCAGCTTGCACCTTGGAAGAACCGTACCGCCAATTTGATTGTCTCTTGTGCTTCGGACCACTCGCATACTGCTTTGCGCTGTTGGTAGTTCTCCGATGGCTGCGCTGCTCTGCACTTTCCCTTGCATTATCTTGATAACGTCTGTTGATCTTTCCAACTACAGGTTCATTGGCATCCATTTCTTGCACCTGACGTCTTGATGCATCAAACGTTTTGATGGTTTTGATGGCATTCTCCAACGTCTCATCCTGCTTCATCAATAGGTACTTGGATTCTCACCTCTTCATACTTTGGCAACAAATTTGCAATCATAATCGCTTTGACAATTATATCCCTTTGATTGTCTAGGTTACCCAAGTAGCATTTTTCAGTGTAGGAGTTGCAACAGGTTGAAACAATGTTGGTATAAGTTGCAACTTGTTGCAACATTCGGTCAACTTTTGGTCGATAAGTGCCGATTTTCGGGGATCTGATCGGAAGACAAAGTTGCAACCTGCTGAGATTGCAAAATTGCTGAACCAAAGTTTTTCAAAATCTAAAGATAGGCAACCAGCAATACTTTGAAGTTGAAACATGTTTCAACTTAATTGCAACTAGTTTCAACAATGATAGCTCCTTCGGGGAAGAGAGTAGGCAATCTGCACATCAATCTATTAGTTGCAAGAATCAAACGATTTTGTTGCAAGTTGTTGCAGCCTCTGCCACTTCGGACAGGCCAGGCTTAAATTCTCCAAATTAGTAACAAACTCGCCCAATATGTCGCATCTTCTTTTTGTTTTCTGGTTATTAATTTGTATAAAGCCATTTCCACATTCTTTTCTGGCTTGAAGTGTGCATCAAACAATTCTATGAGCTGTATATGTGTGAGTTCGTCATACTTCTTATTGAACGATGCGTCAACAGTCGATGCTTCTTATGCTGTATGCGTCATCCCCACGAAATTGTAATAGCAAACAATTTTTTATAGTGTCTGACTCTCCGTCACACGTCGTTGCACACATAAAGATTTCAAATTTTGCCTTCCAAACCTCTCAGCGTTCAGCCATGTTCGCTCCAGGCACAATCTCCAGCGGCTTTATCTTGGCAGATATCGCTTTGGTTGATCCATGTGATGCTGCTCCTTCATCGATCTCACCATTTGCACTTGTATATGGCATCGCTCTTGCTTAGTGTTGGCACACGATTTCTTGAAACTTTGCACGCTATTTTGATTGATGGCACAATCTTAGGCTTCGATGGTCGTCACTGGCACATGGCAGTTGCACTCGCGACTTCCGATTTTTCCGTAACCGTAATTACTTTATCGATCGCGGAAAACCATCGGGTTTCGGCACCACGTTATGTTCAATAAATGAATGAACGCACTTTGAGGAACTAGCTATTTATTCATGGTTACTAATTAACAAGACTTAATTAGGAACACTCCATTCCGGCTGCAGCAGCTGATAACAGATAACCGATAACCGATAACCTTGCACGTCGCGCATGCGCATTATCCTTTCAGGTGTGGGATTACAGTGATTGCCAACCTGACTACACTAATAGGTACTAGATTTCACTATTACAACAAGGAGGAGCGATGAATAAAAATTCCCTGTAATCTTAATTTTTTCTTTTTTTTTCAAAACCACGTTAGAGGCAAATTCTAGAGGGTTTTTTTATCAATTAGTAAAGCACAGCATTGTGGACGGAAAAATAGGAAAATAACGAACATTTTAAGAGCCGCCGGGCCTGTTTTGATCCGGTTGGTGAAACTATTTTCATAATGAATACCTGTAAATGCAGGAACAGCTTGAATTCAATATGAATCCTGAATGATTCCGTACTGACTTTTTTCAAACATAAAATTTGCTCTTACAATTTTCATAATGTTTCTATTTTTTCAATTTTCACATACTGCTTCCATGCTAATGTCAACATGACAGCAGTCTGAAATCATACTGACCACCAAAAAACAGTCTGATATCATGCTACTTAAGTTTTCCAGGGGACACACTATCTGACGCACTGTCAAAATTGTAAGTCGCTATCTCTATGCGTTCAAAAGTTACAGGAGTTTCCTAAGATTTGTGTGTCATTCTCCCGGTACAATAATAAAGCTAAGGGGCGCGTTTCAATCCCAATATAGCGCTTTGCGGCTCCGTGAGTATCTCTAAATGGAGCAGCACATTTAGGGACTATCTCTCATCGATAGCCGCAAAAATCATGAAAATCGCCGCGGTAGATCTTTAGGACGAATCGTAGCAAAAAAAGTACCAGCCCCTGAATTTTTAATTTAAGTACAATTTCAATTTTTTTTTTGTATGGAGAGGATAGGCATGAACCTGAATATAGATGTATCTGAGCCTAGCTAGGCCAGCCATAGAGGGTATCTGCTTGACAGCCCCAACATTGAGCGTGATGGCTTCGAGCTTGGGGAGGGTCGAGAGGCTGTCGTCGGGGAGGCTTCGGAGGCCAGGCTCGACGATGTATAGCTCCAGAAGGGAGGTCTCCAAGCCAAGGAGCCAGTTGGAGGAGACCCGCTCGAGACCGTTGTCTCGAATCATGAGCCGCACTATCTTCAGCGGCATGAAGACCTGCCCAGGCAGCGACGGCATCACGTTATTCTCGAAGATTAATTCGTCGATTGGAGCCTGCAGCGACGTCAGAGCCTTTAGCGCCTCCATAATCCGGCTTAGCTCACTTTGACCACACCTGAAATCAAATCGATGAGGTAATCGAAATTTTGGATGGTCAAAACTTCAGTAATCGATTGATGAAAGAATTAGATCAAAATCACCCAAGTCGATTGATTGATATTTTAATCGATTACCTGATGTGTATATTTTGAAACAGTAATTTCTGAAAATAACGACTTGTACTTTGACGGATGCACGCCGGGGAATAAATCTCCCTGACACTTAAAGAGAACCCTGCTAAAAATGAGTGTATAGCTAGCATAATGTGATTTGCACACAAAAATGCATTATGCTACCATTACACTAGTTATACATTCTCGAGTATATACCTAGCATTATACTAGCAATAGGTACACTCACGAATGTAATGCTAGCATTGGCATTATACTGATTCTACACTCAGGAGTATTATCTTGACACTTCACTAATTATGTGCGCATTAGAATTATGCTAGCTAGCACATCCCTAAATAACAATGCGCTGCCGTCCTTAAAAAGTCGGCCCCGCGGGGGTGGCGCCGGGCCGAGGCGAGAGGGCAGGGACACCTTGCGCTCTTATTCCACGGTGAGGCTTTCGCGGTGTTCATTCTTGTTAACGGTACCATTGCAACCATCGGGGAGTCAGATTTCTCGGGTATGCCCAATTGTATATTGATACTAGTCGTGATTAGCTCGCTTTGCGAGCTGACACGTCTAGCCGGGGAGTGCCCCTGGACCCCAGTTCTACGCTTCGCGACGAACTTGCGACTCGCTCCGCGAGCCGCCACCGCCCCGCACAGTTTTTAACATTGATGAGTAGACAACATCTATGTCTTAATCTTCTTTTTCACCAAGTTTTACAGCAATTGATGTTCTCGGAGTCCGGACCGCGTTTTCGTGCGGGGCCGCCATCTTGGATTTGGAAATGTTGAAAATCTGACAAAAAATGCGAGTTTTCCGTCGAAATACACCTCCTAATACCGAATCTCACAAAAATCGATGGATCGGAAGCCGAGATAACAATTTAGACCACGTTCGACATTTTTGATTTTTGAATTTTGAAAATCGGACCTAAAATTCTAATTTCCCGTCGAAATACACCTCCTAATACCGAATTTCACAAAAATCGATGGATCGGAAGCCAAGATAGCAATTTAGACCACGTTCGTCATCTTGGATTTTTGAATTTTGAAAATCGGACCTTCAATTCTAATTTCCCGTCGAAATATACCCCCTAATACCGAATTTCACAAAAATCGATCGATATCAGGAAGCGATATAGCATTTTTAGGCACGGCCACCATCTTGGATTTTGAATTTTGAAAATCGGACCTTCAATTCTAATTTCCCGTCGAAATATACCCCCTAATACCGAATTTCACAAAAATCGATCGATATCAGGAAGCTATATAGCATTTTAGGCCACGGCCGCCATCTTGGATTTTGAAATTTTGAAAATCTAACCAAAAATTCGAGTTCCCCGTCGAAAAGTACCCTGGATCTCCGAGTTTCACAAAAATCGATCAAACAGGAGCCGACTTAGCATTTTAGGCCACGGCCGCCATCTTTTGGATTTGGAAATTTTGAAAATCTGACCGAAAATTCGAGTTTCTCGTCGAAAAATACCCCTGGATACCGAGTTTCACGAAAATCGATATAATAGGAGCCGACTTAGCATTTCAGGCCAAGGCCGCCATCTTGGATTAGGAAATTTTGAAAATCTGACCAAAAATTCGAGTTTCTCGTCGAATTATTCCTGTGGATACCGAGTTTCACGAAAATCGATCAAACAGGAGCCGACTTAGCATTTTAGGCTACGGCCGCCATCTTGGATTTTGAGATTTTGAAAATCCGACCAAAAATTCGAGATCCCCCGAGAAAAATACCCCCGCTTTCCAATTTCCACAAACATTCGTCGAAAAATACCTCCTAAAACCTTAAATTTCGTCTATAAGGCAGTGACGTCACGCAACAGGATTGAACCTGTTCGGCGCGATGCGCGTAAACAACCGCGTATCTCCAATGTAATACTATATGGAGAAATAGCTTTTCGCTCTTGCGGGCATCCGAGGCAGCGGATTTGAATGGGAATAATTTTAATCAACTCCTCATAACAATAGCTAAGCGTGTACCAATTTTAAAGGAAATCGCTTCGGCCAATTTTTATCTAGGGGGGGGGGGCAGAGTGAGTAGGAACAGCAGCTTTATATAGAGTAATAATAATAAGGCTGTGAAAAAGAGAGCGCAACTTTTAACCGCTTCTATAACTTATCAAATATAAATATTAAAAGAAAAGTGAAATCTCCAGAAGTAAACCATAAACACCTTAACAAGTGAGAAGAATAACGAGACAAAAACCATTCATCCGAGGCAGGCTTGGGCCTAGAGAAAACGGTAATCGCACATTGAAGAGTACGGCGCCATCTGTTGGCCGTGACTGGTAAAGACTCATCTCACAGATATACACTCATTAGTGTAATGCTAGCATTACACTGGCACTGAACCAGTTATACACTCAGCAGTATAAAGCTGAAAAAATTCTTGTTTCCGTATCGATGTCATCTGATGTCAATTGTATGCTCATGAAATAATGCAATGATCGTTCGTGCATTACAAAGTGCTATTATAATTTAGATAAGGATTAAAGTTTAGTCCTATATTGAGAGAAATTTTGTGTTTTATTGTCATATGTATATGCACGCTGATGTTTTTTAAATACATGGAATTTAAAATTGTAAATTTTTTTGTTCACAATGCCTTTTTTCCAATGAGAAAATAAAACACCTCTTTACTTCATATTTCTGCTAACAATTATATTTAAAGGAAAGACAGGAGGGTGAATTTTTTAAATGTTTACGTGGCATCCCTAGTAAAATTGAATCAACCTGACGTCAGGCTATGTTTCATAAACTACTCTGAGTTAGAATGATATAAGCCTGAATTAGTCTGAGCCAGAGTAGTTTATGAAACATAGCCTGATGTCAGGTTGATTCAATTTTACTAGGGATGCCACGTAAACATTTAAAAAATTCACCCTCCTGTCTTTCAAATCTGGCCTCCATCTTGGCATTTGGAGCAATCCCTTTGACTTGAGGGCTTTTATGACTTCATAAATGAAATCTACGACCAAAATTACATAAGAAATGATACCTCACTTGCCTTATCACGCGAATTTTTTGAAAATTCACCCCCTTGCCTTTCAAAATTGGCTGCCATCTTGGCATTTGGAGCAATCCCTTTGACTTGAGGGCTTTTATGACTTCATAAATGAAATCTACGACCAAAATTACATAAGAAATGATACCTCACTTGCCTTATCACGCGAATTTTTTGAAAATTCACCCCCTTGCCTTTCAAAATTGGCTGCCATCTTGGATTTGGGGTACCTTCTTTTGATCGGGGGACTTTTCTGACTTCATATCTGAGATTTACAACCAATATTACATAGGAATTGATACCTCGCATGATACTGTATGCGTATTATAAAAAAAAATCGAACTCCCAGAGGCCTTACTATGGCCGCCATTTTGAAATTTACGCAATTTGGAGGGGTGGGTGTTCCGGGATCGAACCTAGGTAAACTTTTAGTATGTTCTTCAATAGGAACTAAGGACGACGTTTACATAGGAAAAGTTTGTTAAGCAATTTGTTTCGAGTTAACCCTCTTTTTTTCGGATTTCTCCTTGACTACCCCCCCAAAAACCCGAAAGTCGTAGATTTAAGGATATGAATTTTGGGCAATATGCACGAATAGCTATCTACTGGCTCTTGATTAACTAAAAATATATGGGATATGCATTTACGAACCACAAAAACAGCCTTACTTGACTTCTTCAGGGCCTTGACCCGAAATTCCCGCCAAAAAAGCGAAAAATCGCATTTTCTCGAAAACGGCCAAACTACAGATTTCGCGGTTTGTTGTTCCTCAATCAGTCGGCCTTCTAGTTGACATTTCCGCAAAAAAGTCGCGGGTGGTATGTTGACCGCATTAAAAGTGTTTAAAACGTACTGTGCACATTCTTGTGAAGAAGTCATTTTTCTTAACATCCTTGTCCAGTGAGCCTCTGCTTTTTTAGTTTTATTTTATGCCCATTTTTTAATGCCTCAGCATTCTCCTTAGCAGTACCAGAAAATTAAAAAAAGTATAATTTTAGTGGAAGCACTCATTTTTCCTGAAATTTTGGAATGAACTTAAATTTACAGGATTTGATAAATACCTACATAATTGATTTCCTCAAGAGATCTATTCAGTGTCATTATCATTGACTCTCTCAATAATGGACCACTAGACAAGGTACCCTGCTAAAAATGAGTGTAATGTTAGCATATTGATAGCAATGTGCTAGTATTAAGTTGTCAAGCATAATACTGAGTAACGTAATGTTAGCAATAGGTCGGTATTACTCGGTATGCCAAAAGCGATTTTCCAAACTACAAAAGGAAATGAAATATATAGATACAGAAAAATGGAAAATTAATAATAATTTCCCAGAATTATTGAAAAAGTCAATGATAATGACACTGATTAGATTTTTTGAGGAAGTCAATTATGTAGATATTTTTCAAATCCTGTAAATTTAAGTTCATTCTGAAATTTCAGGGAAAATGAGTGTTTTCACTAAAATTACTTTTTTTTATTTTTCTGTTACTGCTAAGGAGAATTCTGAGGCATTAAAAAAATGGGCATAAAATAAAACTAAAAAAGCAAGGGCTCGTTGTACAAGGATGTTAAGAAAAATGACTTCTTCGCAAGAATGTAGGTAATCCTCAAATTAAAGAAACTGTCAGTAAGACCAACACTCTACCATTTTCCTTTAAATATAATTGTTAGCAGAAATATGAAGTAAAGAGGTGTTTTATTTTCTCATTGGAAAAAAGGCATTGTGAACAAAAAAATTTACAATTTAAAATTCCATGTATTTAGAAAACATCAACGTGCATATACATATGGCAATAAAACACGAAATTTCTCTCAATTTCTCTCAAACTTTAATCCTTATCTAAATTATAATAGCACTTCGTAATGCACGAACGATCA